TGGGCTTGCTCATAGCTCCCCAGCTTAGCCGCCATGTGTTGGAGTTTACCCCGGTGAACGAGAGGGTCGCTTCCCTGCGCCTTCGGGTTGGGGATAGGTCTCTCACTGCCGTTTGTGCCTACGGGCCGAATGGCAGTGTAGAGTACCCGGCCTTCTTGGAGTCCCTGGGAGGGGTGCTGGAACAGGCCCCAACTGGGGACTCCGTTGTTCTACTGGGGGACGTCAACGCCCACGTGGGCAGCGACAGTGACACCTGGAATACTAGGCCTCTCTGGGTCCAATGCGGGGTTCCATGTTTGGGTTGGGTTGGGTTGGGTCTCCTCTCCTCTCCTCCTCTCTCCTCTCCTCCCCTCCCCTCTCCCGAACCGCTTGCCCAGACATTCGTCTCTCATTACCTCCTCTCTCCAGAGCTCTATCTCCCATCCGTGGGTCATGTTCTCTCTCTATAATAGTTATATGGATTAGTATAGGTTTCAAGTTGTGGAAGTCTCACGGCACAAAGTGTTTTGACAGATCTAAGAGTTGAACTGGTACTTCTTCCATCCAGCATTTAAACACACCTGGTTAAGTGAAAGCCAAAAGAGACTCCCAGAACAAATGTTTGGACCAGATTAGACTTAAAGACAAGACAGTAAAGTGATTTGCATCTAATGGATTTTATGGTTTGAAGCATTTTGTTCAAGATGTCCTTTTTGTTTGATGCTTTGTTTTTATTCTATTCATAAACTACAACAGTACTTTACCCCATGGTTAGCCCAAAAGAACTTACAATAGATGTGCTTACGCCACGTCATGGCTGCAATCTAACAGCAGCCCTACACCTACAGTAACCTGCGTGACGTACAACATCGGTTGTATATACTGGAGGTCACTGAGGAGGAAGGACAATGTAGGAATGAGAAATGAAAACTCACCCTTTATCCTCAAGCTCTCAGGGATCCCATCCTGCTGGAACAAGAACAAAAAGGAGAAGAGATCACAGTTATAATAAACCACAGGATCACAACATCAACAACATGACAGAAGACTTTTCATTTAGTGATATCCTTGGTGCTTGTGCCAAAGAAATTGTATTCCATAAAAAACTTGATATATTATCCAGCTCTCCTTCCAAAGAGTTTAATGTTCAGTTGAGGTAGCATGTCCAAGGATTTCATGTTGACTGCAAGACCTTGTCTGCCACAGTTCTGCCCGTCTGAATTGCACCAGATGATGCACTGATATCTTACGAGTGATAAGTCAGACACACCTTTATGTTAAGCAGTTATATGCCTCACTCACATGCAAATGATGAACCTTTCAACTGGCTACCATACACTTCCCTTTATGATTTTATTTATTGTACTAAGGAAAATTTTATTTCTTTTTCCTGTTCTTTATGAGTCATGGTGATGTTCTGTTTTTTTTTTTTTTTTCCCCAAAGGGTCGGCTGCATATCGTTACCTTTTTTGTCATTCACCAATTAAGCCTTTTTACTTTTCCTTATTCCTATTTTATAACAGCAACTTGTGCTGGACTGTTACTTTAGATTCTGCTTTTCCTATTTTTTCTTTTTAGGTTTGGATGTCCATGTGCCTTTTATTAAATTAGAAGTTCCAGTTTGTTCCTCACTTGTGTTTTATCACAGCAAAGCAAACTAACCTGTATCTGACAGAAAAAGAAACAGAAAAGTATTTCAAAAAGAAAATAGAAGAGCAAATAACTATGACCCCTGAGTAGGTGCACAATAAAGTCAGCTGCATTTAGAGCACATATAATAGTGAAGGTTGTAGAATACACTGCTCTTAGGACTACTATTCTGAGTAGCTGCTATCCACAATCCATGAATACGAAAGAAAGAGGTATAAATATTTGATTTCTCTACAGTGAAATCTGCATAGTTCATCTTGCTCGCTCTTGTACAAAGATTTCAGACACTATTTCTACCAGCTCGGGCAGGGTGGTGTTATGGAGAGGATGCATTATGCAACAGGTCTGCAGTCAATAAGGAACAGCCCCTGACTGCCTACTGAAAAGCAGATTACCCAGTTCCTGGGTTTGCTCAAAAAATCTGCATATTATGTATTTTCTTGCTTAAATAATTCTGAGAGGATCAGTAGAGTATGTGATACACTTTACACATAAGGGTAACAGTATCTAAGAAATGTAAAAAGATTATAAAATTATTTTATTAAGATTTGGGTTGGGGGGGGGGGTTGAACATTTAAGTCTCCATTGTCAGTTGAGACTGTGCTGCAGCTAAAATGATCTATTTGCCCATTTGGCAGTACTGTGGGTTAAAAACAAAACAAAAAACTAATGCCAGTTCTTATAATGTAAAATATGACGGACCTTTATACCCACTCAGACTGCAGTTTCCTGCTGCCTCAAATAATCAAATTGAAAACTGATTATCTGCCCAACAAACAAATATACAAATAGTCGAATGTTTGGGTCCTAATACTCTGTGCCTTCTTCTCCATATTATCACTCTTGCATTTTCATTGAGTGTACTGAGTCTGTATGTTCATATTTATAACTGTTCTCGCAACACCCACATGAGCAGTAACACTTTTAACAAGTCCTTACCTACTCTTACTAAATCATCACAAACAATTTAACACTCATGAAGACAACTGCCTGGGAAACTTACAATGGCAATATTTACATTTTCAGCTGCAACTAGCAGTGATTTTAATTATTGCTTAATCACATGATTATCTTTTTGCTCAATCTGTTATTCAGTTCATAAAATGTAAAAAAAAAGTCTAAATACCCAAAGCCAAAAGTGATGTCTTCAAATTACTTGTATTGTCCAAAACCCAACAACAATCAATTTACTAACAAAGGCACAAATTCACACATTTGAGAAGCTGAAAGCAGCAAATAGCTCATGTGATAGAATGCATATAAACCAATACTTCCTGGCCCTTCCTATGCAGAAGTGAAGCCAAAATATTGAAAATACATGGGATGGGCATTTTGCTTTGCAACCAGAGGTGGAGCAGCAGTAACAGGGCATCAGTCAAAGCTGTCAAATCATCTTACATACACTCCTCTTTATACGCCAAACAAACTTACCAGCTATAAAAATGTTGATATTATACTATGAAACCACCAAACAGAGGTGGAAGAAGTACTCAGATTCAGTAAAAGTAGAAATACCACAATGTAAAAATACTCTTACAAGTAAAAGTCCTGCATAAAAATGTCACTTAAGTAAAAGTACAAAAGTATTAACATCACAATATACTGAAAGTACAAAAACTACCTATTATTATGTAAAATAGCACACTGCACATCAATGTATATTATACAATTTAGTTATAATTATTGATGTATTATTGTGCATATCACATGTAATGTTGCAGCTGGTAAAGGTGGAGCTCATTTTAACTACATTATATGCTTAAATTAATTACTGCCGGTTAGATTGAAAATTTTCCACCAGGAATCAATATTTTATGATTATATTTTGTATTATTAATTTGATTCTGAAAAGTAACTAATGTTATTAAATAAATGTAGTGGAGCAATAAGCACAATATTTGACACTGAAATGCAATGAAGTCAAAGCATGAAGGATCAGAAAATGATAATACTCAAAGTACAGATACCGCAAAGCTGTGCTTTAAGTTCAGCACTTGAGTAAACGTACTTACTTTCCACCACTGACCAATTTAAACAGCAGCTGAAAGCCGTCTCTGCACATCACCCTGCTGGACATTTTACAAAACATTGTTGACTAGCAACCCGGTAGGTACAAATCACAGAAAGCACCTGTGGCTCTCTGACATTCTTCGTATCCCCACCACCCTCCAGAGGAGGTGACATTTAGAACTGCACTACAGGTAGGAAAGATATCAAAAGCGACTTATTTGCATATGGCAGAGTGTGTTCACACTTCATTTGTTTGAAGAGAGTTATTTCCCTAAGGCCGCTGGCAGGCCTGTCTCTGCCGCCCCGAGACTCTGGGGACCGTGAAGCACCCAGCTGTACAAGCCGTGGTTCATCTGGCCCTGTCACAGCTAGCTGGCTGACCGCCCACATCTCTGTCTCTCTCACTTTATCTCTCAATCCCCCCACCTCACCAACACTACCCTCCTGCTTGTCCTCTCTTTTACTGCTTCAGATTTTGTATTCCTCACTCCTCCACACCATCGACTCCTAGGTACTCTTCAACTTATGGGACTTTGTCTTTTTATTTTTTTTGTTCTCCCACTCTGTTCTCTGGAGGGGGGGAGGACACAATCTTCTTGCTGTTCCAAGACACCCACACATCACAGACCCACACTGGACTATTTTCAGCCTGAATGCCCTCTTCCCCTCACATTTGAACATTTCCCGTGTACTGTATGTGGCCTGTGATTAGCTGTGTTGTAGCTATTTACGCTAGAGGGTGAGGCTAGTTGCTACACCACAAAAGTCAACATGTCACCAACAGGTACGGTAAGTGCCAAGCCAAAAAAAAACCCAGCTAAGATAAGAATGTAGTAGAACACATTTTGAAAAACTCAGGTTAATACCAGCACAGACATAAACATCTTGTTATTGTTATAGCAGACTGGCTCCATACAGTGACTGCTGCTCTAGCCCCTGTGGAGACTTTACAGAAGCTGGTTGCCTCAGCTTTAAACTGGCTGCCACTTGAAAGTAGACAGCCCATCAAAATGAGTGACAAGAGCAAGGGCTAAAACTGACCAGCTGAGGAGGGGGAGGAGGGTGGAAATATAACCGATAGTATTTGTACTTAAGCCAAACAGCCTATTGCAGCTTTAACTGCAACTACTGTATCAAGCTCAAGCTGCTTGCTGTGCATTCTGTGATTTATTCTTGCTATTTCTCCAATTCCCTGTCTCTTTATCTCAGTCTCATTTGCCCCCACCCCCTGTCTCTCACTACTTATCCCTGTTAATCTAGATTTGCCATGTGGGCAAGCCAGCACAGGATGGATGGAGCTTTGCACACAGTTGCCCTTGCCTCCATTTTGTTTGTCCTGACATAACAGCTTGATGTCAGAGCAACAAATTCTCAGAAATTGCTTTTGTCCCTTGTGTCAATCAAGCCTGACTGTAAGTCTGCAAATTACAAAGGGACTCTCCGTGACTTTCATAGTTAAATACGCAATGAATCTGCTTCAGTGAAATAAGAGGGTTTTAAATAAGATATGCATGTAACAGAAACCTGAGAACAGTAAAATAAATAAATAAATAAATAAATCACTGAGTAGGATTCTCATTAAAACCAGTTGTAATTAGAGCAGAACTGTGGTGGACCAGATCTGTGTCCTGTACCTGACCCCATGTGGAGGATTTCACAGTGAATTTCTGAAGCAATACCATGGGAATTGTGGATAGAGTATGTGACCAGCTGTTTGTGGCAGAGTGATTGAAGTGTTTGTGAGAAAAGCTTAGACTATAAGCATCATAACTAATCCTGTTAACCTTGTCAAACACTGTCCTTTAAAGCAGGAGAAAAGCATAGCATTAACGTGGTCACTGGTGGATCACAGCCTGAAGCACATTTCACTCTGTGAATGTAGTTATGCTGTTTACAAATGTTTGGTGGCACTTCCTCTACACAAATAGTGAACGTGGCAATGCTTTGGTGAAAATAAACAAATAAATAAAATAAAAAATGAAATGAATATTTGCCATATACTTGCTTTAATTACTATTAATTCAGATAGTAGTAGAAAAACTTTCCAATTTGAACTGTCAGTCATGTTCCAACACTTCGTATTGCTTTTCTGCAGTATCTCATTTAGAGATAACTGAGCAATAAAAAGGCAAATTATAGTTTGGAAAAAGGATTGCGGCCATTTTTCACCAAAGGGCTGTAGATTTCCACAGCCATGTCTGACAGGCAGATAGATGAGTGGAGTTTACCGCTGTCCTCTGACAAGACAAATTGTAATGCTATGCAGATGCTGTAATGACATTCCTCTGCAATGTAATCACAACACTTGGTACATTTAATTTTATTAGAGTGGGAAAACATATACATCATTTTTGTAGTTTCTAGTGAAAGTCTCACTACATGTGGACACATTCCTTTAATAATTAAAGTCACTCTGAGTCTGAAACAGGGCAATAAAAAGACAAAAGTCAAAACCAGTTTGCTTCAACAAGACAATCTACACTCTCATATAAAAGAAGGCAAAGCACTATTCACACTGCCTCCAACATCTGCTTCGAAATAACTAAAACAACTTTAAAAATGCTCTAATTTCCTTGCAACTGCTTACAACTGTTCTTTGTCCCTTCCATCGTGTCCCATTTTGCATCTAAAAGCAAGAACACCACATCTGAACTGCCTACTCACAGTGTGAAACACTCTTCTTATAAGCTCCACCAGGTGGTAGGCGGGGATAATTCACAGGCCGTGGTTTGGACTTTACTGGACCGTATTTTATTTCATTTGATTTATCAGACACTATTTAAAATCTTATTTTAATGCACCTTTAAAAAAGGTGTGCCTGCTTTGTTCAAATGACATGGCAACACAATACAAAGCACAATAAAGAGTACTGTGAAAGAAGAGATAGCTACTGTAAGAGTCACATTGTGGGACAAAGAAATTAAACCACAACCAGGAAAGGTTTCAAGTGACAAAAGAAAAACTGCAAAAATAATTTTGCTATCAACACAATGAGAGCTACCTTGATTTGTGTCTTTGTCTTTTAAACTAACTCTCTCTGAATAGGTTAACAGTATTTTTAAATTTGAACAATTGAGGGTTCATTGCCAAGATCTTGTTAAGTATAATACATGAATGATGTTTTGATCAAAGGCATCTCAACATTCCTAAAGTAGATTTTCTATACTTAACATAATATCTAGATACAATACTAGGACACATTTTTTGGTGTAGCTGTTGGTACAGAAACACTCCATCTATCCCCAAAATCCTACACCTAAAGGTGTGAACACAGGCTAATGAAAGACACGTTTCATCCCCCAGCCTTCAAAGCCTTCTCTTTACAAGACAAAAATGTGAGACACTGAAATATGGAAAACTATTTTTCTCTTGCTTCTGCCTGGCCCAGTGCAAGCAGGCTTCAGCACATCCAAGAGGAGGAGGATGCTGGATCATTTGCCTCTATTCCCTCTGGTACAAAGTGAGAAAGATGAAAAATTTTTGTAGAACTGATATCTGCTCTGAAGCATCTCTCTGAAGACCTCTTGTTCAAAAGGTCAGAATGTGTTTGACCACTGAGTCGATTCAACAGCTTTGCACTGCTCCCAGGTCCTCACTCAACTCTGTTACGGTCCAATGACGTTCCTACCATCTGTTACCCTGCCTCGCTCTCCAAGTCCCTCTTTCTAACCACCTCTCACCCAACCCACCCTTTAGTAACTCTGGCTTTGCTTTTCATTCCCATGCAAGCATGACTGAACTGACTGAAACAAAATCTTAAATATTTAGCCTGAAGACAGCAGATTTAAAAAAAAGCAAATATACAACAGTTTTCTTTATTGTCACTGCTAATAGAAAGGAGCTGTGTTTACTCGTGAACAGGAGCACAAAGGAAGGTTATGACAAATGTACTAAAGGACCACAAGCTGTCTTTGGACAAAACTGTTTTTTCCAAGTGCCTCAAAACTACCAAAACAGTTCATTTCTTTCCCTGTGGCTCTAATTGATCTGTCTCTGCTACGCTGCTGTTTTGGAAACTGTATCAGAGAAACAAAAGCTGAGTTTAGAGGTAGAAAAATGTAACTTGTTCCTTAAGATGCAGCAGGGGATGTTAATAGAAGTGGCAAATTTTGCTTATGGAGTTTGGTGCCCTGCATCTCTGAGTCAATAAGCATTCAATTACATCTTTTACTTTAAATGTTACGATAAAATGCCATGTGAACAACCTCACATCATTCAAAGCTCATCTTCATCTTTGCTCAGCTGTGCCTCGCATTAATGCGCCAGTGTCTTTGAAAAGACAGTCCTTTGGTACAGAGGGAGGGATAATGATTCATCAAGTATTTTTCAGTGGGAAGAAAAACAACCACCACAGGAGACTCATCTGATGCAGGAAGAAAGCACCAGTGTAATTAGTTACATACTTGGCAAAAGCATATAGTCCTCTTGCTGCGCAGAGTAAATGGAAAAGAGAACGCAATCAATACCTTGTGTCGGAATCTCACGACTGGTCGATAGGGCAGCAATCCGAATCCCTCCTTGTTGGGTCTCCCCTCGGCGTAGAGCACAGCAAGCCCCAACACTAAAACTGCCGCCGACCACCATCTGGCTGTCTTCATTGGTCTTTTCCTGTCAAAAACCAAACAAGGATGGTGAATACTCTTCTCCAACACTCCGGAGGTTCAATACGGGTTCGCCAAGACAATACATCAAGTCCTCTGTAATTAGTGCGGACAATGGCAACTGCAAAACTGTCGTTGGTTTAAACTAAAGCTATCAATACGTGCCCCACACTCGGGGAGATTAGATCTCCTTTTGAATCACTTAAGGGGAAGTAGACATCATGAGAAAAATCAAGATAAAGAAGACAAAGAGCCAATATATTAAGGCAATTATAGTGAGGGCTTTGGATTAATTAGGCTGAGTGTCTAAGTCAAGCAACTGTGATACTGAGCAAAAGAGATTCCATCTTAAATAGTTTCCTTACACCCTTGTAGCAATGCAGCCCACATATACGGTATTTATTTAAGAGTATGAGAATATTCACTTTTCACCTCCAACATAACTGCATTTTCAGTTATTCATTTTGGTGTGTAAACATGAGTTTGACCTTTGCATGTCTTGAATTAAACAAAACTGTTTTGCGGGGAGAGGGGGGGGAAACTCGCCCTGAGAAAATGTCTGTGTCTCAGAAACAGCAACGCTCAAGGAAGAGACAGGAAATACACAGAAGACAACGTGTTAGCCAGTGCAATCATATTTCTTGCCTAACACACACACAAATACACAAAGACATGCACACAAGCTTTACATTCAAATCTGCAATGCGCTTGTTCCTTCTTATTTTTATCCCTCGTCTTTTTCTCCATTTATGCCTTTGGATCTTTGTGCAGCACGTCCCTTTGTTAGAAGCACTTCATGAATAAATTTGACTCGACTTGACTTGTTGATTTTCAAAGGCTCCAGCCACCAGTTCCTGCTCATCATCCTCCAGTGAAGAAAGATGACTGACAACAGGATAGTGACCCTGCTTCTTTGTTCTTCTGGAGTGACACTGAGCCAGACAACAATGACACTGTTGTGGCAGCGCTCTGGGCCCACATGCTCTTCAACACAGGTCAGGAGGTCGTGCCAGAAGAGGGGCATGTCACTGTGATGTGCCATGTGAAGAGGGAACACTGAAACTTTTCGTGACTTTCACCTTTTTGAGCTGTCTGACACCCTGCAGTTTCTACTTCGAAACTCCATTTTTTTGATATTCTGACAATACTGTTAAAACTTGGTCAGTGCACAGTAAGTGATTCATGCTGATGTAAACAACTTTCAATTATAAGAACAATTATCAGCTAGGGAGTGCATATAATTGTCTATCAGATTTAACACTCCATTTCCAGACCTTTTGTTTAAACTTTAGAGACAAACAAATCAGCAAATTAGAGGAAACAAAAGAAAAAAGGAAATATCTACAAAGAAACTAATGTAAAAGGTATATGCACAACATACAGTACTAGCACAGTGCTGCTGCTTTAAGACCTGATATCTGGGCTATTTTCAATCACAATATAGTTTTCCACCTTTGCAGATATAAAGTCTCATATGCCAGACGCTTGCCCCTGTCACTGGCAATGCAGTGGGGGGGTGGGGGGGGTTATTGAATGTGACTTGATAATCCAGTAGCAGAGAGTTTCTGTCACAAAATTCAAAAGATCTCTGAACCAGGCAAAATAACAGTTAAATTGCTGGTAATGATCAACAGCCTCACCAACCCCCTGCAGTCACATTATGGTCGTTTTGCGCTATGGGGTTCTAAAAGCCTTACTTACCGCCTCTTTAATGTGATCATATTAATTCTCCGGTTCTGAACTCTCCAGATCCAGGTAGGAACCCTGCCTGCAGCTGCTCCACATTTCTAACACAGTCTTTTAGCCGCACTAGGTGGATTATCTGCCAGCACAATCAATCAACTTCTTTGTGGCGTCCTGGTGTTTAATGGGTTATTAATGGACTACAGCAACTTTTGCAGGATGCTGTATCAGAGACAGAGACATATGCACCGTTTTAAGAAGTTTAACTGTGTCATGCAGCACAGTACCCGCAGACATTTAACTCCAAATCAGTACCAAGTGAAACACATACAAATAGTTCCAGTTTTGTTCCTACTGAATCATTAGTAATCTTACTGGGAGATTCTAAACTGTCATATACACAGTCCTTCATTTCAACAACAGCCTTATTTAAACAACAGAAAGTGTCAACTGTGGATGGAACAATGCATCTTTAAATTGTTCCTGTTTCAAACCAGAGTGTACTTTTTCTTAGTTACTGTGGCTGTTAGTCAGATAATTTTCTTGTCACTGAGTCTATCGCTCCACACCTCATGCACCAATACTGTTAACAGAGCATTGGAACAATGACAAACTACAGACAGCAATGCAGTGGAAACACACATGAAGGCACAAGTTAGACAAGAGCAAAACTGGCATTACAAACAGAACAATAAACAACAAAGCAAGTCTGTGGTGGTGCAGAACTGTAAAGCATCACACTAAAAGAGGGTTCTAATATTCTGTCCATTGCATTTATACCTGTGAGATCAGACTAATTATTAGAAATAACCGTCAGTACTCCTCAGCACTATGATTCAATAGCAGCACAAACTATATTTTGAATCAACACCTCTCTAAAACAGTTTTAAAATAAGCATTCTAAACATTATATCCATAAATGTTAGAGCTGCAAGAATCAAACTGAAAATGTTATCTGCAATCATTTTGATTACAATCATGATTTAAGGCATTTTTTAACACAATGCAAAAATTCCACTTAAAAACTTCTTCAGAAAGTAGAGTGATGTCTGAGTTGTGGACATATGGTTGGATAAAACATGTAAAGATGCTGCACGCTATGAAATTGTCAACTTGAAGTTGTACTATTCTGACATTTTACAGACCAAGCGATTTATGAAGAACATAGTCAGGACATTATTTGATAATAAAAATTAATCAAAAACATTAACATTATACAAAATACCTGAACATTATGAGGTTAAATGTGTTGCTGAGGTGTTGCATTTGACAGGTTTAGTTGTACCTAATGATCTGCCATCTGAGTGTGTAGTCTACCAACATAAATTATCCTAAATGAAACAGGTTTTCCTTTCCATTTAAATTCTATTCAGAATGGTTATTTGTGTCAAGTGAGCCGTGGGATAAGACACAAATAAGAAGTAATTGTCTCTCTTCTCCTCTCCTATAAAGAAAACTAGTGTGCATGATGTCATAAACCCTGGACTAGATTAGGGAATACATACTTATATTGGGGGAAAACTCCAGTGCTTGTGGTGATCGATTTCACTGTATAAGGGCCTTAATGCAACCATCATAAACTCTTGTGTGAGCATATTGTATAAAATTGTGTAAGTCACTGTGTGTGAGAGTCAGAGTCTGTGCCTGAGTAATCACTTCAAGTCTTATTTATCTGCCTTGAAAATACAAGAGACAGAAACAGTCTGAAAGTTTCCTTGGACCCCCGGAGGAGTTGCCATCATAACTTTGGCTCGTAGTTTAAATCCCCCAGAGCATGTCTAAGCTCTCGCATTGACTTTCAAATGAGAACTGCCTCTTTGCCACTATATACACAATGCACCGTGTCTTGACAAGCTCACATACCCCTCTCCCCCCCTCAGTCTGTCTCATTCAAAGGATTTTTGCCATTCAGTGCACTGGACGGGCCTAACAGAAACGTGCATACAACCTCTCTTATAGATACTATGTGTATGCAGCACCTAACTACACTGGGCAGTCACTGGGTATGAACTAATGCACATGCTGTAATTTACGGTCAACTGCCATGCATTTTTGATGAGTCATAAGTCTGGAAAATAGGAATACATAATTTAAAGCATGCTCTACATTTTCCTGACATTGTGCATGATTTTCTCCTAAAAAGCCTTAATTCACGAACCCTGTTCTCCCACATGACTTTCATAAGTCAGCTTAGACTAATTCTGACTTACTGCTGATATTTCTTCAACTTTAAAGCTCTCTCGTTACAGTCAGCTTGTCTCAAATAGAACGAAGCAAAGCCCTTCATTAAAAAAAAAAAAAAGAATTCTGAATATGCCCAGTGGTTCATTGGAAACTTCAGTTTCTTCCCTGACTGTTTGCCAGTAGACAGGACAGTAAGAGCTACAGAATAGTCCAGGTTTTCTAAACAAGCGCAGGAACATATACAAGCAGTTTCAGGAAAATATGGCAGCAGTTATGATATTTCAACCATCTGAAAAAAGGCACCGACCATCTAGCAGTGTTCATACAACGACCACAACCAACATTCCCCTCAGTATGTTTTGTACTGGGGCCTACAACATTTCTAACATGAGCAAAGGGCTTTTGCTTATTTCTCAACAAGCAGCCAAACAAACAAACAAGCCCAAACCAGAAGTGCAATTTCTCAAAAATGTTACAAGTTCACATCTCCAAACCAGCAAAGAAATTCTCACTTTTCTACTTAGATGCAACAAAATAATACTATCCAAGTCAAAATCACAGTGTGGTACGGCCATCCTAACGGCCAGCCTAAACCTTTGTGGCTTGTGTCCCCGTAAAACAAAATAACATCTATGAGCATCTCATCACCAGCTTCACACATTCAGTAGTTTGGATTAGTTTAAAGAGTCATTTCCCCCTTGTTTTACTGTTGTTTTTTTATTAGGTTTCCTATTTCCTAATAATTTCTTGAACGTTTCCTGGAAAGAACCATGTAGCTTGGTACAAATATGAGCAAAAATAGAGACAACCTTCTCCGACTGCAGCTACTTGTGTTTATTACTCACTTCCAGATGAATTTGCAAGGAAGAAGTAGCTCCCTTTAATCCCCAGTGAATATGTACTACTCATCTATTTAGTGCTGGAAACATAATCCTTCATTTATACTGAACGGCATGTTTGTTTATAAACATTTTGCATGTGTAGTTCACTTGCAATTCTATGAATAAAAGTCTTGAGGTGTTGAGCTTAGCATTTAGGAATAGCTGGAAGTGTTCCACTTTCTATTCCTATAATTTGGAATTTACAGACCCATTAAGTAGGGAGTTTATTATTATTTATTACAAATAAGGTTTCAGAACC